AATAAATGAGCATCAGTTAATTTTTCAAAGACTAACCGTAAAGCTACCGGAGCTCTCGAGGAAAAGGTGCCCAAGGCGACACTAGACTACTGTTGTAGTTATCGAACAACTAATCTTAATAACCAGCTTGATCTTTCTCATCATATAGGAACATTCAGCGGCGCACACTTCATATTTCAAGCCACTAGCCGAATCTTAGCATAACGCCCTTAAAGAAGTTAAACAGGACAAACCAAAGGATCAGATCAAAATCATTGACGTTGGAGCTGGGACAGGGCTTATAGGAGTTGAGCTCAAGAAACTCGGATACACCAATCTATACTGAGTTTTGGACATCTCAGCTGAGATGTTAAAGAATCTGGGCAAAAAAAAGAGGTCTATACTGAGTTCATTTGCAGGGCTTATCGGCTCCTCTGCTTTCGTGGAGATGATAAGAATGTTTCAAACTGGTGGGTCTTTCGTAGGAGTTTACCGAGGCACAAGCAAGGATGTCTTCGGGGAGTCTGTTCTGTGGCTAATTGTTGGACTTGACGCTAAAGAATCATTTAGTCGCGGTTTCAAAGCAATCTCTTTTTTAATATTTCAAACGCTGTAATAAAAAGAAACAATTACAACAAAAACGGACACTAGCCTTTAAACATTATACTTTGATAAACCTTTGAGGGAATAATAATGTTTTTAAGCAAAAATGAAAAAAAAAAGGATCATTTTAGATTGAAGACATATCAGGATTTTAAAAAAGGAAAAAACGTTTAAAATCCTATCAAAAGTTTTTTGCTTGGTTGTTTTTGTTTTTTGAAAACTCAAACCGTGAGATGGATCAGGTAGTGAAGACTCACCTAACACCCTTCTAGATAAATTCCCTTAACATCTGGCATCTGACCCGTAAATCTTCTTCTAGGGTCAAATGTTCTCTCTGCAAATTCGTTTAAAGAACATCTTGATATATCAAGATCACGCGCTCAAGCTGGTCTCTTCAACTTCTCTTTGGATGATATTACAGTTTATAGGTTAACCCTTTAACTCCCATGGGTGACCGAGACAGACTTTCTCCTTACAGTATCAATATGATATCAAGCAGACAAGTAATGGGAAAACAAAAGAAGATGTCAATGAGGGTATTATTGGTTAGTCCTACACCAAATTCTCCTAACTAACATCATAGGAATTATATGACAGACATAAAAGAGAATTACTAAAGAGATCTTAGGAGTAAAAGGATTAACGAACTCTGAGAGTTAAATCTAATAAATACATGGACAAATAGGAAAAATGATGGAAATTTCCCATGATAAGACCTTACAAGATACGCACTAAATTCCTATGTGAACTTCTTTGCAGATGGCGTCCTCTGTTTCAATATAAGGAAAGAGGAATTAGAACACTATCAAGAAATGATGACAGAGCTGGAGAAAGATGGCGATTGGATATGCATGTGCAAAGAGTCTTCACATTTCTATGCAGCCGAGGACATGCCCAGTGAATGCTGGGGGTTCGTTTACAAAGTTTCGAAGAACTAAGAAACATGTATCATGGCAGTTACGCCTAACTTATCTAGGCCATACAGGAAAATTATTGTTTTAGCTGACTTGAAACATCGGTTATAATGCTGTTGTGATGTTTTCATTGATGTTAAATCAAAAGAAAGTATATGAAACAAATCAAACTGTTCAAACGACATTGCCCTGATGTTGTACTTACAGTTTTGCAAATGCCAGTGGACAGCGCCTGCCGACAGATTTTTCAAATTTTCTGTAACGGCTTGCGTTTCATTTCCTGATATTAAAAATTTCGAAAATATAGATGCCTTTTTAAAAAAGTTAAAAAATTTAGAGCCAAGACGGAGAAGAAACTGCTTATCCACTGAACAACTCAGGGGTCTTAGTATTGACTGAAACATTCAACACAAACTCAAAACTTGTTTTAGAAGCACAAATCTAACACAACCCTTGGTTTTTACTTGACTTCCACCATAAAAATAAAAATAAGAGGGGATTTTACAGCTTATCTCCGAAAGACGAAAGACCTCTGAAACCTTGAGAAAGGTTTCAGCATCGTGGAGTTCTCTATTTTGAAAATAGAGCTATTTCTAATTTCGGTTTTTCTTCGCTCGACACCGGAAAGCTGTAAAATATGAGCTATTGTGTGACATTTTATTCCCTGAGCATAAGAAAGATTAGAAAACGTGTTTAGATGAATGTTAGCAATTTCAAAATCGATAACTAATCACTTTAGAAGCCAAACAAGACAGCAAATGTTTGCATTACTTCATGGCCACTACTTGTGTAGTGATGCCCATGCAGGTGGGCATAGGCATCAACTTGGCGTTCCCATCCGAAGCGCTGTAAATTTATGTCAGTACACTGCGGAGAAGAAAAGGATATTGGCGATCCTCGCAGCTATGAACACTACTGAACGAATAGTTGAAATAAGACCCAAAAAAAATTCAGGCCCGTACGGGATTTGAACCATGACCTACGGGCCTAAATTTTTTCAGGTCTTATTTACACTACTCGTTCAGTAGTGTTTATAGCTGTGAGTATCGCTTAAATCCGTCATCAGTGGAAATTGCTACAGACCTGAAACTTGGGAAATATTCTAAAATAGCTCACTCTCCATAGCAATCGAGCTATGAAGACAACGATGAAGATTGGCGAAGACTACAACCAACATGAAGGACCGAAAAAATCTATAACTAGTGATAATTAAAGATTAGCAAAGTGCGTTCGATCTCTAATAAAAGTTTTTATTTTATTTTTTACTGATTGCGCAGAGGAAAAAAAAATTGGTGTCTTTGGCTCAAGGCAGCCAAGAAAACATTCGCACGTGAGATCGAGGCTATTTGTTCCACATAGCCAAGCCAGCCAGCCAGCCAGTCCAAAATGGCGATCCCCTTCGGACTAGTCCATTAAATCCTTGAGAGTGATTTTTCCAAAAACGACACGATTAGTATGCGTTCTCCTTCGTTCAACGCAATTATATGACGAGGCAACATTTTCTCCCAAGAATTGACGGCTGCATGTAAACATATATATCGTGCGCTTTCATGCGAACGGAATCGAAATGAAGGTGTTCGATTTCAGGGTAATAGAGTCTGCACTTATCAAATATTTCAACTGCGTATATAATTACCAAATTTTTTTGACAAAACTTAACAAGATTTTGAAACCAAGTGCGTATGGTACTTAACAAAGTAAATCTTACAAATGACATGGAATGAATCCTATCGTTTACAGTTGTGGTTAAGGTCATTAGTGTTCTTACCCCACAAGGTAAAAACTGAAGAAAAGACTTTCAAAGTTAAGGTTTTCAACAAACAGTTTAATGATCAGGACACCTTCGAGGGCATCACAGAGTACATACACTTGGACTGACTGAGTGAATTACGTACGTTCTATCGAATTGACTGACCCACTTAAAGACAAAATTAATCGTCTGCCTGATTGACTTGCTTAGAGTTAGGGTAAGGGCCAATCAAGTTTTAACTTACCTCATAACTCGTTGTACAGGAGCAAGAATAAATGAATTCAAGTCCATTTAGCGATACTTTGGATTTTCACGACATGTCATCTTAAAATAAACAATAAGCAAATAAAATGATTAAATCTTACGAGAAAATAGGAGACAAATCGATTCTGGGCTAACCGTACTCTGTAAAAAATAGTAAAGTACTTGTGAAATATTGAAATTTTACTCTGCGAAGGTCAAGTTACCACACACATTTAGGAATATTCTTAGCAGCTCTTTTTTCTTCCAAAGGGATTACAGCAATGCAGATACAGCGGTCTTATAAATGAAAGAAATCTCAGAACCAGATTGAAATGCCTTTGTACCGTATTTCTTCACTTATAAGGCGATCTCGGCTATAAGGCGAGACCCTAAAAGTTAGAGACCTTACAACAGACTTGTGTTGTCCAAAAAAAAAAAAGAAAACCCATCGGCTATAAGCCGAAAGCGAAATTCTTGATTGAAACCAGTCATTTGAGTGAGCGAACCTCGCGGAAAACATTGGGAAATGGCTCACTGAAAACAAAAGCTAATGAATTGAAATAAACACAAAAGAAAAAAAGCTAACCAGTGAAGATGTAAATACTACCACGCGACTGCAGAAACACAACAACAATCTCAGTTACTGTAACCTGACAAACGTTTCAGTTGAGTATCTCTTTCGTTGCTGTTTTTTTTCTCATCATACCAAAAGCACGCCGCTCTTCATATACTATGGCTTTCAATATAAAAGTTATCGTGGAAGCTGAGGAAAAAAACTCAAAAGTCGCTTGAGATTAAGGACTTAGCGAGTCCATGGTGCAACGCTGGAGAAGAGACCAGGTGACTATTCTTTCTGGCGAGCTTAAGATGACTGCAAAAGGTGCAAAAATGGGCCGTTTCACTCCCAAGAACTCCGAACTATAGACGAGCAAGTGATGGAGTGGTTTTCACAGCGGAGAGACCAAAATATTTCATGTCTAATGCGAAATGAGAAGAGTTTTGCTGAGTTGAGTGAGATCGTCTTTCAATGCGTGGGAAGCAAAGAGTCTGATTGGTGGTCAGAAATACGTTGTTGTCATGGCAATTTTAAAGCATGTCACTTAAAGAGCGCTACAGTCAGAGAATTTACCGTCATTTCGTTTGCAATTAGACTTTGTTTTTGAATTCCAAACCCTTGGCTATAAGCTGAACCCCGTTTCTCTTGGAAAAATCTACTAAACTTTCGTGTCAAATACTGAAAAAATCGCTCGGCTTATAGGTGAAGAAATACGGTAAGTGCAGAATTGATATTTGTGTCGTGTTAATAAAACGTTGGATATACGAGGACACCTAACCTGTTTTGAATAGTAAAATTTCGTAAGCTTGAAATAAATCTACGCTCTCCAAAAATATGCTTCCAACGTTAACGTTGGAAAATTCCTAGATGTAATAAAGAAAGAAGAAGTCACTTACAAAGACAACTGAAATGTGTGTTAGAAAAACAAAATTTGGCCTTTCAACATGTGTCAGATTTATGCTGTTATCTTCTAAAGGCATCTGGGGATATACCCTACGGTGTACATGAATGACGGAATCCCACGAAAAAATGTTCGAGTTATCAGAACTAGGATTTGCATCCAATTTTGCAAGCTTTCTCTGCAAAGATTCTCTGGATAAACTTGGAATTATGACCAGCATAACTTTTAAACGATTCTTGACATAAGGGCGTAACAAGTGGCAGCTCTGTTATTTACAGTTCTTTCTAGATTCCTTGATCTGGCTAATTCATGTACGCCTGACACAGTCTGTCACGTGACCCGTTAATATGAAAGCCACCTGAACATCGCATAAATTAACGTTATGAAGATTATTCAGGGTCTCTTCACTTCAGAGAACGCCACACTCTTAACTGACAAATTCCTACTTTGATGGTGTGCACCGTGGCGGCAGTGGTGTTCCTTCTTGCACTTATATCGCGCCTCGATGTCAGCAGTAACAGAATTATGACACCTTACAGTCCTTATACATTTTCTTAGACTAAAAGTCTAAGAAAATGTAGGGGACTCTCCGGGATACTTACAGTACAGACGATTTGCGTCCCCTCATGGAGCGGCTGTCTATGGAAACGAAAATTTCACGAGCACGAGCAGCACTTGAAAACGTGTGGAAAATTTCAAACGGCGTGTGCCAATGATGGCTGTAGAGAGATGGTGGCAAGGGAAAGGATGGCAGCACACACTGCGCAATGTGCAAAGCACAAACTCCCTTGCCATCAATGCGGTAGAAAAATTACAATGGAATCTTTCGAGGAGCATACTGCTTCCCTTTGCTCAAATAAGAGGGTACTATGCCCACTAAGCTGCGGAACAAGCCTTCCACGGTAAGATATTGTCGGTTTAATTAAGAAATCATCAGTCAAATGGTTTTTTTTTTAAGGCCAACAAAATATCCAAAAGTTTCACTAGCCAGCTCATCCCTGGTCCTTATTTTGATTATTTTACAGGGCTCCACTCAACAGTGCATTTAAGCGAGTGCTCAGAAAGAGCGGTCCGCTGTGCGGTGACTGGCTGCACTGCCATAATAAAGCAGAAGAACATGCCACAGCACTCGACAAATGCAGCCGCCACCCACAGTGTTCTGCAGGAAGGGGAGGTCCAGCGTCTGCGGGGCCTGATGCATTTCAAGGTGAGACGCTAGAATTATAAAAATAATGAGAAAAGATATCACATGAACATGAACTGAACATTCGGTTTCATTTCAGAGAGCCAAACGGAGATGGATTTTGGAAGAAAGAGGAGTGTTCTCCTTCCGCTGGAGGGGAGAGAAATGGAATAACGTGAAGGGGTCACACCTATTCAGCACTGAGTACAGGTGCCCGAATGGGAACAGGTGGAGGGCGCATATACGATTTGCAGGACTTTCCTTGGAACTGGTGTCCGCAGTGACGGCAGTGGTAGTAGGAACGAGGTTAGGGACTCATCTTTATAATTAAGGATAGATTCTCGCTCTGGAACGCAGTACAGAGGATAAATGATCGCTGCTGATAAGCCAA